TGAGTGCGAGATAGGGCTAGCGGCTGGCGGCTAGCCCCTGAGGAGAGTGACCAGAGACACCTCACATGACCCCACACGGTCTAGTCCGGCCTCGCGGTCGGCGGAGATTGCTAGAGGACGAGCAAGACTGCTCCAGCCTCACGCGCTCGCCCCTGTCGTCTGTTGTGTTGTTGTGCTCTTGTTTGTTCCTTCGGCAACTTGGCTGGGGGGGGCGAAGGGGGGGGGGCGCGGCCTTGAGTTATGTGTACGCCAACTCAGGGTGTGTGGCAGCCAGCTGGCTGTGTGTCTTGTGAGCTTGTTTGTGTCTCTGTGTCGTTCGTGCGTGTCGTCATCATCTGTCCCGCGTCTACCCATACCGCGTTGGTGTCCAGTCCGAGCCTGACTGTTGTTCATCTTTCTACATACATACATACCTACCTAACTACCTTGGTGTCGGCGTCGTCGCAGAACGAAGCCGAAGAGAGCGATGAGTCGTCAGGGGATGAAGCGGCAGGCAGGAAGGAAAGGAGAACGCCGAGAAACGACCGCGAGGTGGCACGAATTAAGATTGCTGCGAGATTGGCGAGACGCGAGAGCGGGCGCGCTCCGGTGCGGCATGGCATGCATGCAGCGATCAGTCTGAGCATTTGCACCCGCTCTCCGTGGACCGAGGCACGCCCCAACGGCTCAGGCCCCGACACGGGAGGCGGCAGGTTCCGACCAGAGAGCAGAGCGTACGTGTGCCACACGGGTCGGCGGCCCGGGAGCTTACGCACACTCATCTGTGGCCACGCCAAAGGTGCTGCTGCGCTTTCAGGACCCTACTGTCCGCCGCGCAGCTGGAGGCCCGGCTGATGGCGCCTCTCGCCGCCCTCGGGGGCGTCTTGCCCACAGGTGGGCAGGTTCGTCGGTGGTCCTGCCACTGCGTCGCGGCGTGCGCAACAACAAGAATCGACGCGGCAGTTTGATGAGGCCGTGTACCGGCGCAAGGGCGGCGAAGAGGATGCAATGGCGCGCCGGGCCCTTCGGCATCTCTCGGAAGCCGATCTCGCCGTCGTCAACGTGCACGGCTGCTGCACGACGGTCTCGCCGACACGCCGACCTGCGCGGGCATTTCGGTTTGAGGCTTTGAGCGGCCACGGTCGCACGGTCCGCCCCAGCCAAATTGGCAAACACGGAGAATGGCGCTGAGCGACACTGATGATACATTCACACACCCGGCATGGGCTAGCGCTAAGGGACGGGTCCAGGACCCTCAAAAGGTGTGACGGCCTCCGCACCCTCAGGACGACGGGTCATCGTCATGCGTCATCGAACATCGTAATGTCTCCTATGTAAGTAGAAAAGTACGGCGGTCCTCTCTGTCTCTCTCGTCCCTCTCTGCCCCCTTGACGCCATGGCACGTGTCTGCGAGCCTGATCGCTGATGCACGAGATAGAGCGAAGACGGACTCTCCCTATGCCGCCAGCGCCCAAAAGATGAAGGCGCAGAAGAGCCCGACCGGCACAGCAACGAACAGGACCGGCGAAGGAGGTTGCGGGCCGTCACGAGGCGGCCGGCCGTCAAATGTGAACCTCTGCGGCGCCTGCTTCTTGTTGCCGCCAAACTGTGCGGTCGCACCGTGCGGGACGCGCGGCGAAGTGCCACCGGCCAGCCGCGCGGTCAAGTGCAGCTTTGGTCCGGCGAGCGCAGTCAAGCAGTCCACGCCCACGAGAAGCGCGAAGAGGGAGACGAGAGTGAGCACACAGCCCATTGTCGGAGGGTGCCAGCTGTAGACAGGTGCCAGGGGGGTGGCTTTGAACAAAGAAATCATGCTCGCCGACGCGAGCCAATTTGGTGTTGCCCCACCCCGACCCTACCGTTGTAGGGACGTTTGCGAGTCCACCGTTCTCCCTTCTACCCTTATAAGTCTCTCGTGTCGGCGCCGACGCTCTTGGTTTAGAACGTCCCAGCCGAAATCCGCCCGCCACGATCGATCAGTCCACAATCGTCGGCCCGCAGCGACCCGCAGCGATGGATGCCGCCGCCCCCCCGGCCCCTGCGGCTGACGCGCCGATGCACGACCGGCCTCCGTCGGATGGCTCTCCGGCCTCTCCGGCCGCTGACGCGGCCGCCCATGCTGCTGCCGATCCGGTCCCTCTCACGCTCAGCGATATCCGCACAAGCTACGACAACTTCGAGGTCGCCGGCTTTGGCCAGGTGCAGCCACCACCTGCTTGCCTCCATGTTCACGCTTCGCGCCCCTTCCCCCCCTCTGACGCCGCCGTATGACCGTAGGTGAGGGGCACGACTACCCGCCTGGAAGGCGCTCTCATCAGCAAGTCACCCAGGCACCAACTCCTGGGCGTTTACGCTTGACTACGAAACCATGCAGTGGATGCAGCTCGATCAAAACGGCGACGCCAACAGCTGGTCCCTGGGCGAGTGCCTCGCCCAGGATGAGGTGCGAGTCATGATGCTCGACCCAGCGTGCACCAAGTCGCTCACATTCCGTGAGTTCGTCAAGGGCCGAACACACTCTCCAAGTCGACTGCGATCTCGAACTCCGACAACTGGACCGGTGCACGATGGCTCCCTCGACGACATCCCTTCATCGACGGACGCCTTCACCGCCGCCGGCCCTGGGCCATCCAGCGCGGCCTCCGACGGCCTGCACGTGATCGAGCGGGTACAGAAACGGTGGCTGCCGCAGCTCACACCCTAATCGATCTGCCTTAGGCACGGAGCCAACGGAGCCATCGCGCATGCCCGCATCGCGTGCGGCTCCGAGGTCTCCCGCCGAGACCGGCTCGGCGCGGCGCGTGGCCGCACGCCGCCGTTGAAAAGGCGAGATAGGACCGAGGGGAGAGCGCCGGCCACATCGAGCGAGCGCTGACGTGTAAGGTGTCTGTGCTGCTCCGGTGTGTGTGGGATTTTGCCCCCCCCCCCCCCCCCCCATTTGTGCGGCGAGTTGTTTGCGGCGCGATGCCCGATCGTGCGCGATAGCCTCCCATTGTGCGTGGTGTGTCGGTGTGTGTCGGGGTCGTCCGGAGCGTGTGGCGGCGCCGTTGCATGCAGCGACTGCTCCACGTGCCACGACTGCTTTGACTGCCGTGACTGACTGATGAGTACCACGACTGCTTTGACTGACGTGACTGACTGATGAGACATGAGTGCTGATGGATGATCTCCGACAACCCAAAACCAAAATGCAAATGCGGAGTGGCGCCACTTTGGCGTGCAGATCCTGCGTCTCTCACTGCCCGAACAACAGAGACGGGTACCGCCGCAGGTCCCACACTAGTGAAAAAAAACTCCGCTGGGTGCGTGCGTCAAGATCTTTCTGTGGCCCCGGCGGGGCTGCATGGCAGGGGTGGACGGCGCTTCGTTGGGCGCAGCAGCGGTAGCTGTGGACGCGCCGCTCCTCGGCCAGCGCGTCGTGCTCGGCGGGCTCTCGGCCCGCCCCGAGCTGAACGGGCAGCGGGGTGAGGCACGGAGCTTCGAGGGCGGGCGGTACGCTGTAGTGCTCGACGGCGGCGGCGAGAGCGTGCGGGTGCGGCCGGGTAATCTGTCGCCGGCGGCGGCGGAGCCAGTGTCAGGCGGTGCTGCGGCAGCCCCCGACGCGGTTGTGGCAGCGGCTGAGCGAGGCGAGGAGGAGGCGGTGCTGGCGTGGCTTGACGGCGGCGGGCGGGCCGACGCGACGTACGAGAGAGACGATTCGAGCGGCGTCACGCTGCTGATGGGCGCCGCTTGCAACGGCCACGAGCGGGTGGTCGAGTTGTTGCTGAAGCACGGCGCTGAGGTCAACCTGCAGAGCAGCATCGGCATCACCGCGCTGATGGCCGCCGCCGGCAATGGCCACGAGCGGATGGTCGAGTTGCTGCTGCAGCGCGGCGCGGAGATCAACCAGCAGGACAGCAAAGGCTGGACCGCGCTGATGCTCGCCGCCCGCAGCGGCCAAAAGCGGGTGGTCGACTTGCTGATACGGCGCGGCGCGGAGATCAACACGCAGAACGGCAACGGCTTCACCGCGCTGATGCACGCCGCCAGCTTCGGCAACGAGCGGGAGGTCGAGCTGCTGCTGAAGCACCGCGCGGAGCTCAACCTGCAGAACAGCAAAGGCGTCACCGCGCTGATGCACGCCGGCCACCAAGGCCACGCGCGGGTGGTCGACTTGCTGATTTGGCACGGGGCGGAGGTCAACCTGCAGGATAGCGGCGGCTACACCGCGCTGATGATCGCTGCCCTCTTGAACTACCCCGCCGTCGTGCGGCGCTTGCTGCAGGCGGGCGCAGACACGGCGGCGCGCAGTTCACTCGGCAAGACGGCGCTGCAGCTGGCCAAGGAGAAGGGCCACGCCGCGTGCGTCAAGATCTTGTCTGAGGCAGCGGCGGCGGCTACGGAGGGCCGAGTAGGGGCGCACGGCGCTTCCTCGGGCGCGGCAGCGGCAGCCGAGGACGCGCCGCTGCTCGGCCAGCGCGTCGTGCTCGGCGGGCTCTCCTCCCGCCCCGAGCTGAACGGGCGGTGGGGCGTGGCGCGGAGCTTCGAGGGCGGGCGGTACGCTGTGGCGCTCGAGGGCGGCGGCGAGAGTGTGCGAGTGCGGCCGGGTAATCTGTCGCCGGCAGCGGCGGAGCCGGTGTCAGGCGGTGCCGCGGCAGCCCCCGACGCGGTTGTGGCAGCGGCGGAGCGAGGCGAGGAGGAGGCGGTGCTGGAGTGGCTTGACGGTGGCGGGCGGGTCAACGCGACGCACGAGAGAGGCGAGACTAGCGGCCTCACGCTGCTGATGGCCGCCGCCTTCCACGGCCACGAGCGGGTGGTCGACTTGCTCCTGCAGCACGGCGCGGGGATCAACCTAAAGGACAGCAACGGCTTCACCGCGCTGATAATCGCCGCCCAGGCAGGCCATGAGCGGGTGGTCGAGTTGCTGCTGCAGCGCGGCGCGGAGATCAACCTGCAGAGCAGCAACGGCGACACTGCGCTGATGGCCGCCGCCAGCCACGGCCACGAGCGGGTGGTCGACTTGCTGCTTCAGCGCGGCGCGGGGATCAACCTGCAGAACAGCAACGGCGGCACCGCGCTGATGCACGCCGCCAGCTTCGGCCACGAGCGGGTGGTCGAGCTGCTGCTGAAGCACGGCGCAGAGATCAACCTGCAGAACAGCGAGGGCGACACCGCGCTGATGATCGCCGCCCTCTTCAACCACCCCGCCGTCGTGCGGCGCTTGCTGCGGGCGGGCGCGGATACGGCGGCGCGCAATGTGAGCGGCAAGACGGCGCTGCAGGTTGCCAAGCAGGAGGGCCACGCCGAGTGCGCCGAGGCCTTCAGGCAGCACGTCAAGGAGGAGGTGGTGGCAGGACGGCCCACGGCGACGGCAGCCGGCGGCGCAGGCGCAGGCGGCGCTTCCTCCGGCGGCGCTCCCTCGGCTGGATCGAGAGTCGTTGGGCTAAATTCGCCCAA